CTTCACAACGTGAACTTCTATCATAAGAGAGCTCGAGTCGTTACTCGAGTTTCACGTTGTCGCGGCTAGAACGCCGTTCTAGGTATCTGAAGCCCGCGACAGCATGAAATTCGAGTAACGACTCAGGCTGTCATATATATATATATATATATATATATATATATATATATATATATATATATATATATATATATATATATATATATATATGCTTGTGTGTATAAAGAACTACAATGGTAGTTTGTTTGATCCAGCTATAGATAGTGAAGTTTGTAATAAAGAGTGCTGAATACGAAGCAGGGCCTATAAAATATAAAAATACAGAATAGGAAATAAAACCAAAGCTACTCGAATTTCACCCCCGAACTGAATGATGGTCAGGCCAATTTCAATCATAGAAATATGGAGAATTTTGTTCATTTTTGTTTATACCGGTAGATAGATAGATATTGTGTGTGGAAAGAGAGAGAACATTATTCGAGCATTTGACCCACGATATTTAAATGATTTTTCAGCGTTCACATAAACTAATTTGAAAATTAACTTCTTTTTTAAAATTAACTTCTCTTTTTTAAAAAAGATAATACCATTCTAGCGTGCTTACTAAAAACTGGAATCCGAATCAAAATCACTGTTTACGAAATGAAACCATTTTGATAGCTTTATACAAATTGATCAATAAACAAAATAATAAATGCGATGAAATTTACGCATGAAATAACTATTAAACATGGGCGGTCGATATAAAACCGAAGTAAGCCTCGATATTTTGATCGATATGTTTACGTTGGTTTTCTTTTGATTACTGTTGAAGTATCAAGAAGTAGATGTTAGAAAAATGACTCAATTACAAACAGGAAACGCATAACAACTTCGCACGTTCACCATAGAAGGAGTTAGCCTTTTCCTTTTCATTTCAATGACTGTCGACAACGTCTTCTCAAGTATTGACATCATTAAGACGCCAGAACCACGTGACCAACTATCGTCTGCGTCTTTTGGTTTCCCTTGCGCTTCTGTGCGGAAGGTTATAGGGCAATCAAATTAATGTGAAGTAAAATTCACTACAATGCGATATGCGCCAACGTCACACGCGTACTATACACTGAATGAATTAATGCTATTGATCTCCAACTGGAAGGAAATTATTTCGGGTAGTAAACGAAATTTCGCATAAAAAATTAGGCAAACGTGCCCGCAATATGTGACACCCACTCCTCGGCAATGTTTATTGTTTGAGAAAGTAATGATTAGAATTGCAATAAAACCGTTACATACCATAAAAATGAATTTATATATTTGTTGTGTTCTTGAGAATTTACAACAACAATATTAAACACTATTAGAGTTTTTATTTAAAAGAATAATTTTATATTTACATTCTAAAAACTAACACAATAAACACAATGCAATATTTGTCATTTACTAATTTATAAAAAAAATAAATATGCGAGCACATTCATAAATTTATAAACATTTACTAAATTTTTCAAATATGTGAACCAACTATAAGAAAATCCTTATTATTTACCATTTTATAAAGTTTGAATCAATTGGCAATTAGCCGACGTTTTCCCGACCATTTCAATAATTATGTAATTAATAAATAGTGTAAATAAACAATCCGTACTTCTGATTTATCTGTCGCCACATTTTAAATTAATTTTCCAACTTTTTCACAAATATAGATGTGTATAAATATACTATCCCAAAGATTCATTTAGCAGTCTGAAAAAAAAAAAGACATTTATAAAAGATCATCAATACGTAAATTAAAAGGTAATGACAGATTACCCACAAGAAACGTATTTTAAAAACTGGCGACAGATAACACACATGTACCAAACAAGCTAATAAATAAATGGTGTTTATTATTTTTGTTGCCAATTCTCAAGAACATAGAAAATATATAAATTCACTTTCATATGTTTAGGTTTTATTACAATTCTAATCATCGCTTTTTAAAACGATAAACATTGTCGAAGAGTGAACCTAGTTAAAATAATAGTAGTGTCAAATGAAAAACCGTCTTTTTGATACTCCGTCTTATTGCGAGTACAAAGGTTCATGTTTACCAAAAAATAGTTCTAAAAATCCTGGTCTTTTCGCTACCGTCAGTAAGGCTTCATCTTCAAACACACCATGAATGAAGCGTGCCTACTCTTGGTAATTCCAATCCCGGGTATCATTTATCGATTGGCCACCGTGTATAATTATCTTTATCCACACATAAACGTTTGAGAATCTACATTAAACGAATTTTTTGTTGTATTTGTGCGGGTAGCGAACAAATAATGGCATTACTACTTATAGTATTAAAAAAGTTACTTAAATGAATGTAGCATTGTCAGAAAAGATTTTATTGTCGAGGTGGGAGGGAATAACCATTCCTTTTTCCTGTCCTACCATTCTTCTTCTAGGTTGACTATTAATTCGGCTCTTTATTTTGCAATTTACGCAACGTGGGAAAAAGCAATATAAATATATCTCCACTTTCTCCCCAGCCCTCTCTGTTTCTGTTTCTTTTTCTTTTTCCTTTAGTTTCTTTCTTCCTCTTTATGTTTCTATTTTCTTTTTCTTTCTGTTTGCTTCGATTTCTTTTTCTCTTTTTTTCTATTGTTTTTTTTTTCGTTTGTTGTTTGTTAGTTTGTTTCTTTCTTTCTTTCTTTCTTTTGCTTTATGTTTCTATTTCTTTTCTTTTTCTATTTGCTTCTTTTCCCCTTTCTCCATTTTTCTTTTAGTTTCTTTCTTTCTTTTTCTCTTTCTTTCTTTTTCCTCTTCTTTTCCGCTTTCTTTCTTTTTCTTTGTTTATTTTTTTTTCTTACTTCAACTCATTATTTTTCAATTATTACCCGGGGGATAAAACATTATAAATTTCACTCTCACTATCTCTCTCTTTCCCTTATGTTTGTTTGTTTGTTTGTTTGTTTGTTTGTTTCTTTCTTTCTTTCTTTAACTCATCTGTATTAAAATATGAGAAAAAAACATTATTATGAAGTGAAACAATAAAAGGACAGAAATTAAAAAGCTAAGGATTGACATTGCATTTAAATTTTTGAAGATCAAACGTAACTGGAGAACAAGAAGCCGGAAGAGAGTTCCACAGGCAAGAAGTGCGAGAAAAGAAACTGCTAGCATAGAACTGGCGGTTGTATTTAGCACTGCGCATAAATCCATAGGGTCTAAGTACCACAGGTGAGAGTTCCTCAAAACAATTACCATGAAAGTATTTATAAAAAAAGGCACAGGAAATCTACATTACGACGGTGGGAAAGTGACTGAAGCCGAGATGTCAGGTCAGGAACAACGACATTGCAGATTCTTCCTTTGATGTATAACGGATCTCTAAATAGATAGCAGGAACTCCAGACCAAATGTGGCAGCAATATTCGAAGCAATGGGTAAAGGATAGACTTGTAAAGATGTCAGATAGATTCGAGCGAGAGGAAATGTCTAGCACTTCACATTCCTAGCAGCAGAACTAACACTTGATTCGATATAATCTTTCAACTTCCTGTCAGCGGAAAACGTTATTCCGAAAAGGTGCTACGAGTCACTCTCCTGGAGGTTAGCATTAGCCATGCTGGTGGAAGGCAAAAAGGCTTCTTTCAATCGATTAAAAAGAAAGCAGTTAAGTTTTGGAGGCGTTAAAATTAACAAGCTATTCCTTGCCCTAGTTAACAACAGATTTTTTTTACAATAAGGTTCACCCTGTACAAGGCCCGGGTGCCACTCGAGACAGAGGGTTACGTTAAGGTGTTGTTTATATGGATAGGATGGGAAGATAACGATTAACTCTAGACTTGAACAGGTTAACATTGTAGTGATCGGGAAAACATCTTAGGAGTCTGTTTTACGGGACAGTGGTTCGCGGGAAGAAGCTGTTTGAGTGGAACTTCCTTCTCACAAATGGAATACAGGGGTAATGTGGGTGGTTTGATACTATGTAAGTGGCATGATGGGTCCTAGCCGGGAAGGTTAGTTCTGGTGGAACCAGGAGATACAGTTCGTCCGAGCAGTTTCCATGGAAGTAGCGATAGAGCAGTGACAGGCTGGCCACATCACGTGAGGTTGGAGGGTGGAAAATAATTCTTCTCCCACAAGGACTTAGAGAAGCTTTTGATCTTTATCTAGGACTGGGCAGCTCCCGCCCAAATATAGCAACAGTACTCCATTTTCAGCCTGATCTGGCTCTTATAAAGGCAGAGGATAACATGGAGTCAAGTACTTACTGAATCGGTACAAGGAGCCGATCATTTTACCTGCATCTTTAGCGACGGGTTGAATAAAGATGTGTGAGTTTGAGGCCCAATATCACCTCAAAGCACGGCGCCTTTTCGAGGGGACATCCGTTCATCGTGACTGGCGGTAGTTCGGGCTCTGACCGGCGGTGATGGAATGTAACCAGTTTGGTCTTTGAGGCATTGAATGTAACAAACCAATTTTTCCTCACTGAGAAGTTTTTTTTTTTTTTTAAGCGTTTCACTCCAAACAAGGCGGGAAGCCACTAGGATGCAAGGGGTTACAGAAGATTTGGAGCAAGATCAGATAGGAGTGATAGAAGAAAGGATGAGAAGGGTAGTGGATAGATCAAGGCAACAGGAGATGTCGATTGACATTACATTTGAATAGTTGGAGATTATAGCTCTCAGGGAAACTGGAATAGGGAAGGGAGTTCCACAGGCGAGAGGTGCGAGACATGAAGCTATTGGAGTAGAAAAGTTAATGTTAGATCAGAAGAGAGGACAGCTGCCAATCTCTGATCGTATATCGTCGTATCATCGGTGTAGATGTTTACAAATGATCGGAGTGATAATATTTAATGGAGATCATTATTTTTAGATCAGCAGCCAGTTCACCTTGTCGAACCGATGAGACTTACTATAAAGACAGGAGTAAATAATTGTGTCATCAGCGTAGATACAGTGTTGGTATATTTAAGTGACACTTAGGATGATACATTCGTTTTTACAATTGGTTTCCCAAAACGGAAATTACTTATGACGGAACCTGATCTATCTATCTATCTATCTATCTATCTATCTATCTATCTATCTATCATATGCTAGTGTATTCCATTTAACTGCCACGTGTGATTAGTAATTCGGATAATGTATTTGTCATTACAAATTCGGTTCCCAAAACGGAAATTACTTATGACTAAATGACGATAGGAATTAATGTATTTGGGAAGAATATGCATCGCTAAAATAGTTTAAATCGCATTTTTGTTTTCCACTTTTTCAGTCTGAATTGTATATAAGTTTGAGAAGTGTTATCGTTTCATGAGTGTGTATATTTGAAGTGCTTCTTGGACCGACATTTTGACTAAAGAGCTTTCTTCAGATGGAAAATTGGGAAAGATAAGGTTTCTCTCTCTCTCTCTCTCTCTCTCTCTCTCTCTCTCTCTCTCTCTCTCTCCCATTCACACATCTCGCTCACAGACTTTTTTTTTATTTTCTTATTCTGTAGATTTTTCTCTGTCTGTCTTTCTTCTTCCTTTCTCTTACTCGATTTCTCTTTCTTTATTTCTGTCACTTTTTCTGTTCATTTCTTTTTCTCTTTGTTTCTTTCTTTGCATTACTCTCCCTAACTATCTACTTTTCTCTTTCTCTTTTTATTTTTCTTTCTTTCTTTCTTTCTTTCTTTCTTTCTTTCTTTCTTTCTTTCTTTCTTCATCTCTCTATCTGTCTCTATTTCTATCTCTATCTCTTTTTCTTTCTCTTACTGATTTCTACCCGCTTCTTTCTCTTTTGATATATCTTCTTCCCCGTCGTTTTTTCTCTCTGTTTAGCTGTCTCTTTTTCTCTTCTTTTCCTTTCTCTCTCTCCCTATCTTTTTCTCTTTTATTCTCTCTTCGGAAATTACATTAACAAAGCCTAATTACTGAAACCTCGTATATAATCTAGAGTCATTTGAAGAACCGTCAATTATCTGAAATATTATTTATAATTAATTATTTTAATTAACAAGATATTCACTTGAAAGGTATTTCCGAAATTTACTCTTGATTAATTGAATTAACACTGAATTTAATTAACAAACATGCATGGACAAGCGCTGACGACGCTTCAACTTCAGACATGCCTTGACGGTCATGTAACCACTTTTGAAAGAACGATCATGGCTCTCCACAGTTTCTAGTCTATTGCAGCTTCCAATGCCCTTCTGTCATCTATTTGCATAAACTTGTTAGAAATGATATGTTCTGTTTCCCTACCCACCCCTCTTGCCTTCCTGTGAGTATTAAATTCTCCAGTCCCTCTTCCCTTAGTATGTATCCCAGAAATTCCAACTGCATCTTTTCTGATTTTGTCATTATATTACCATTTTCCTTAAAACTTACTCGTTGGTAACAGGTTCCGTCTAAAGTATTCTCAGTATCCTTCTGTAGAAGCACATCTACGTCAATTTGAGTCATTATTTACACTGATACGATGAGTTAAAATCGTATACAGACCAGTAGTAGGTAGGTAGGTCATTAATGATATATAAGTTGAGTTATAAATAATTTATGCTCTTTTTATCAACTTTATTCTTCAAAGAATCAGATACAATTATATCTTATTTAATTATATATCCACCATTATTTGTTGTTGTCATTTATCACGTGACACTTACGTTATCATCATCCTTCCATAGAATTATGTCTCTATCGCGTCATCTGCGAGGAAAATCGATGCCTTATAGGAAGTAGATATTATATAGTAGTTCGGGACTTTTATCTTTGTTTCTAAAGAATTTTTCTATCTCATAATATTTTGCTTAGTTTCCGAAAGCTATTTTTCTCTATTCCAATGCACCTTCGTCTGTTTACGACACTGTTCAGATATCTGTATGTGTTTCAATCTGATGGTTCCAATGAATAGAGAGTCGGACAGCCGAATTTGAATTCCAGTCCTGTTTGTTACATTAATATACGCGCAGTTATCCTTGAAAAGGCATGAAACCATCTCCCCCAGGTATTGATTAAATAGTAAGACATATCTAGAAAAATCATTGATACCTCAATAAATGCAATATTCACTCGTAGAGAAGAATTATTCGTACAATCCGAAATATTTTTTAAGTGTAAAATAACACAGAAAGGGTTGATAAGCTGTAAAAAGAAAAAAAAATCAACCATTCAATATAAATCCTGTTGCATTCTGTCTTGTTACAGCTAAAAGTTATATTTCTCATATATCTCTTGAAATGACTTCACCAGAAATTCAACGAGATTTGCTATCAATTTCTTCGTGTCATAAATTTACAGAAATTTTGAATAGCATCTGCTCTATCTAATATATAAAGTTCAAAATGTGTGAATGAGTGCACTGGAGACCTTGAAGATTAATCAAATATATATAAAATGTGTGGATGTTGTAACGGAAAAGTATAAACAATCTTCTCCCCCTCTTGGTAAAGAAGTGTTAAATAGCAGGGTAAATTGGGCTTGTGTAGCACGGAGGAAGCACGGTGGAGGCGACTTGGATTGAGGAATCGGAGAGCCGAGTTCGAATTCCAGTCGAGTTCATTACATTCACTTATAGCAAGACAGACCGGGTTCTATAGCCTTAGATGGCAACTGGTCTACCGCAGAAAAAAATGGTAATCTAGTGCGGGAAAAAATCTGCCTTGTCAGTCATGTATCGAAAGATACATGATCGTGTAAGCATGTATCACACATGGCACATAACTGACTGTCTGTAGGTCTTACAACAGATCCACATCACCTAGGAAGCTTCCCAGTGTCTTTTGAAATTTTCTATTTGTGGAAAGTTTTGTCAGTACCGGAAAATCTTTCGAATTTTGGCAGTTTTCGGATTTGGGAATTTCGGATAAATGATACTCAATCTGTAGTGAGATTCTCCGCTGCCTTAATAAGAGAAACATTTGGTATTCATTGACCGAACAGTTGGAATACATAACATCCAGTGAATGCTGGCAAACTTTTTAAATTTTTTCCACACGAAGCAAGGCAATAAAGCCACTAAGAATCAAGGTATCCACTCATTTTGGATTTTTTTCGACAGACCATTCTTTATGTCGGGTGAAGGGCACTTAGCTAGCCATTGCTTCACTCAGGTTTGTCAGGAGTCGCTTTACTGTCCAGATTTGACAGCCAGAGGCTCGTGACATTTCCCAAATTTAAAATCATCGTTGAAAAGGAGGATATTCAATATTATCACAATGAATCCTGTGTCATTGTGATAATCTGATAAGATAAAATAATAAGATAATTTTATAAGATGAAAGCATCGCGATATCTAATATTGGGTGGCGCGTGCATACACAAACGCAGACACAGGTAGAAGTTCTCATTTGAAATATGCCTATGTATATGCATATTTCTTCATTTACATATACCTTTTCACACATATGCATACACACACTTGTAGATAAATATTTAACAGTGTAAGAAAACTGCTACAAGTATAGACAATCAGTAATGCACAGAGAATAGATACAAAAACAGATTGGTGACATCTAAATATTATATATATATATATATATATGTGTGTGTGTGTGTGTGTGTGTGTGTGTGTGTGTGTGTGTGTGTGTGTGTGAACGTGTGTGTGTGTGTGTGCACGTGTGTCTCTGTGTGTGTCTCTCTGTATGTGTACAGTACATACATACATACATACATACATACATACATACATATATGCAATTTATATATATATTATTTATATATTATATATGCACGGTACTTATTGGAAAGCGCTCAATATCAGTGATAGAGCTAACATATTTAGTTGCGTTGATGTGAGTTTGTGACCCTGGGTTTCACGCCCTTTGTGAGCGTCAGATATAGATAGATAGATAGATAGATAGATAGAGAGAGAGAGAGAGAGAGAGCGATAAATAGATAGATCCTATTCAGTTCTTTATCTATCTATCTATCTATCTATCTATCTATCTATCTATCTATCTATCTATCTATCTATCAAACTAACTAATTTGACTGGGTTTGGCGTGCTTCTAGGTAAGCTTAATTGCTTTGGTATTACGGGACTGTTGTTTGATTTAATCCAAAAATTCCTATCAAATTGTGAAATGAAGGTCGTTCTGAACGGGCTCGCTTCCAGATCCTTTCACACGAACGCGGTTGTACCTCAAGCCTCTATACTGGGTCCTTCATCAATGATCTTTCTGATGTCATCACTTCCCAAGTAGGCATTTATGCACATGGCACTTCCATTTACTCCTGTCTCAATAGTAAATCTGTCAAAGCTGACAAAGTTAACCTGGCCGCTGTTCTTGAAAAGGGTCTCCAATCAGGAGTTAATTGGTACAGGAAATGGCTAGTAAATTTTAATGCCTCCAAAAGTAAACTGCTCTCTTTTAACTACCATAGAAAAACTTCCCTGTCCGCCATCAGAATAGTTGATGCTCGACTCGAGGAGAACGTCTCGCTGCTCCTTCTTGGTCTTACATTTTCAACTGACTTGAAGTGAAATAACTACATTGAATCAATAGCTGCAAGGAAAGTTGGTTCATTGTGTCATGTCAGAAGCTTTTGTCGTCAGAGTTCATCTTACACATTTATAAATCTACCATTCGTCCGTGCATTGAATATGGCTGCCATATCTGGTCTGGTGCCACTGGTGTTAATCTCGAGGTTCTAGACAAAGTCCAAAGAATGATCTGCAATATAACGGATCCTGACATGGCATCTCGGCTTCAGTCACTTTCCCACGGACGTGATGTGGCTTCCCTCTGTCTTTTCTACAAATATTTTCATGGCAGCTGCTCTGGCGAGTTTTTTCCCCAGTTGTCCGGACTACATGAATTTAAGCGTGCTACTAGATTGGCATCTAGTTTCCACCCTTTTACCGCTGGAACAGTTAAATGTAACCGCCAATTCTACTCCAACAGTTTCTTTTCTCGCACTTCCCGACAGTGGAACTCCCTTTGTCTCACTTGCTTCCCTGATAACTACAATCTCCAAAAATTTAAATGCAACATCAATCGCCATCTTCCGTTGACTTGAACCCCGTTCATCTTTTGTCCTTTCCTCGATCCCCCCTATACTCAGTTTTTCTCCCACTTTCACTCTCTGTAACCCCCTGCGTATTGATGTCACTCCCGCCTTGCTTGGGATGAAATTAATAAAAAAACCAATATAGATAATGAACTGAATGAGATAGATAGATAGATAGATAGATAGATAGATAGATAGATACGAGCAGACTGAGATAGATAGATAGATAGATAGATAGATAGATAGATAGATAGATAGATAGATCATGAACTGAATAAATAGAATAGAATAGATAGTAACGTTATCGTTGTAAAGAGTAATTAGAACAGGAGACGTAATTTCTCATGCGTACAATAATTGTTCCTAAACTTCTGGACTTTAGTGGTTCGCTTAGATGCCCTCCTGTCATAATAAAGCTTCCCTATTGACATTAAATTCAATTCAAACCATCTGGTACTTCCTGGTGTGAATCACATACACGCACGCACACACACACACACACACACATATCGTTTTGCGTGCGTGATATATATATATATATATATATATATATATATATAAAGACAGACAGACAGACAAACAGAGCAAAAGGTAAGAGAAGGGGATATCACAAGTGGGTAAAGTGAATAAGATTAAGGAGAACGTGACGAGGCAGATAATGGTGACCCCCAAAATACGTCTTTGCTGTCAGTGGAAGGTACATTAAGATAAACGACAGGTTCCAATGTAAGTATTTTAAAATGGATTATGGCACCCTAGGTAGGCTACTTTTTTCGTTTTCTTTTAAGTGTCTGGCTCACTTCCGGACGGATATATATATATATATATATATATATATATATATATATATATATATATATATATATATATATATATACACATGTTAATATTAGGTCATTAACACAGTTTGTGAAATGCTATCAGGAAAAAAAAAGTTGATACAAACAGCTGAATGTTATAAAATAGTTCCTTAATACTATAGATCGCTTTTTGTTAGACTATCAATTGCCTTCGTCGAGGACGACTCATCGCATAATTATTTTCCTTGTCCCTGTTTTAGATATGATATTCAGAAAAACCCAAATAGAGTGATGAATAAAAAGGAATAATAATATATCAATCAAATACTGACGAAACGGAACGGTCTAAGATTGACTTTTGTGTCCACCATATGGGACTAATGGCTGAATTGCAAGTACGTTGATGAAGGGATGAATAATATGAGTAACCGCCCAAAAACTTTTCGTCAGCTCTGAGCTGTTGGAGACTTTAGCATTAAAATATTAACAGCTAAGTTGTAAAGGTCAGCATGCCATATTGGAGATTAATAACAGGAAGAAAAAAAAGAGTTCCTTTTGATAGAAAATGGCGCACGACAATCAGATGCTGAGATCACTGATGATGAGAAGAGTTTTTTGCTTGATATCTATCTACATCAGGGTTCCCCAACATCGGTGATATCGCACACCGGTGGTTGATCTCAACTGTTGCAACTAAACAGAAAATGGTCGGCGACTGGAAATTTCCGTGGATAATATAGGATCTTTAGTATGAAAAAGTTATTTCGAAATATGCTACCCAGAAAAATATTCAAAGGAGATATGCAAAGAACCTATATATATATATATATATATATATATATATATATATAAGAGGATGAGTAGGAATAACGGGGTTACATTTCTACTATATAAGATATAAATATCCCATCAGACAACAAATGTTTTGGTATATTCTCTAGTTTTGAGAAGGGTCATTAACATTCAAATAATTCTTCAGACAAAATAACTTTTCGGATATAAAACCGACCAAGAACAATAAAACATATTAGCTGAATCTTTATTAGATGCTAGGAGTGTATATTCTTTTTAATTTCATAATTATGAACAAAAATCGTTTTTTGTCAATACCTGCAACGCTAACCCTAAAACTAAACTTCACCATAAAACTAAATTATTTATATATATATATATATATATATATATATATATATATATATATATATATATAATAATTGACTCTCCCGTCGAGATTCGACGTATGAGGGTCAAGCAGATCAGTTTCAGGAAACCGACAGCCCGACACCGGCACATGAGATTTGATTAGAGTGGTGAAGGCCTCGTGCAGGACCATCCACACTTTTTCAAGGGACGAATACAGAGACCTGGTGCACCGAATGCCACAAGATTCCCAAACGACCCTCCGCAGGTTTTGAATTCAGAGTTGTCCTTCTCCTAGACCAGTTGCCATCTAAGGCTATAGAACCCAGTCTGTCCTGCTATTTTACCCATAGCTGGAGGGAGAGTAAGAGGATTCATACCTTTCCCAAGGGTATTAGCATATATATATATATATATATATATATATATATATTATATATATAGTTTTTAATGGTCAAGTTTCCTTTTGCTTGTTTTTTAATGCTCTAGTAACAGCAGCAGCCGCCGGATAAGTCAGCGTTATGATTTTGCATTTTTACGTGTTTTTACAGTAAGGTTCCCCCTGTATAAGGCCCGGGGGCCACTCGAAGTAGAGGGTTACATTAAGAGCCATTTTATACAGATGGAAGAGGAATATAACAGTTAACCCTAGACTTAAACAGGTTAAGATTCTTGTGATCGGGGAAATATCTGCTTGGGAGTAGGGCAGTGGTTCGTGGAAAGAAGTTGTTTGAGTGGACTACGGAGGGAATGTGAGTGGCTTGCTGCAATGTAAGTGGCATGACGGGTCCTTGACGTGAAGTTTAGGCCTCGTGGAACCGAGGAATGCAGTTCGTCTGAGCACTTTCCATGCAAGTAGCGATAGAGTAGTGAGTATCTTGCCACATCCAACGTGTGAAAGAGAAGTTGGAAAATAATTCGTCCTTCACAAGGACTCGGAGACGCTTTTTGACCTTCTATCAACACTGGAAAGTGAAGGCCTGGGCAACTCCCATTCAAATATGACAACAATACTCCATTTTTGATCTGTTCTGGCTCTTAAAGTCAGTTCATGAACTAGTAACAAACGTTTACCAAACAATTTTTGTATGTTTTTGTATATTTACTATACGGGTTGGTAGTGGGATTTTTTTTCCTTTGAAAGTGGGCGATGACGCATAAAAAGATTGGGAAGACGTGATCTACAAGATATCAGATTTTATGATGCTAGTCAAAGTTTTCACAATACAATTAAATTCATTTATATCCTCTTATATTTAAATGATAGAATATATTCTTTTACGCACTGCGTCCCTTCAAGCTGTGGACAATCGTGGCTCTCCAAAACCTATCCTTTGTATCATTTTGCAATGCATGCTTTTTTTACTGTTCTTCCCAGTTGTCGTTCTGCCAGCTATTTACACAAACTTATTAGGTAGGTTACTGACTCTTTCCCTCTGCCTCTCTAGCCTTCAGTATGCCCAGCTTGTGTTAAATTCTCCAAGCCTTTTCCTAATTATGCGTCACAAAAATTTCGACTAACTCTCATTCTAAATATAATAGTCCTTTTTGTTTCCATTTGCCTTAAGACTTCGTTTCTTACATGCTCGTTCATAGTATTCTCAGCATCCTCCTGTAGAACCACATTTCTGTTGCCTGAAGCCAATTCTTCATCTGTGAGGAAATTGGTCAACATTCACTGATTTATATGAGAATACATTAAATAGCAAATTGTCTTGCTTCTTAATACTTTGCTTAGCTTTTGGAAGGCTTCTTTCTCTATTCCAGTTCGCCTTCGGATTTCTGTGTCACATTTTTTGTTGTCTGTTAATAGACTGACATCTCCAAATTGAAGCTCGCATGTTGGGCTGTTCCTTTTGCCATCAATTATGCCTCTTGTTGCTCATGTCTCCCCTTACTGGACGAGGGTTCAATTCCAAGGTGGTTGACCCTTATTACGCCGTTTATGCTAACAGTCGTTAATTACAATAGACTTAACCCTCTTCATGCAATTGGCATATCCGAAGACGCTTTGGGATAGTCAAATATAAATTTC